TATACTGCCTAGGCACTTCATGTTATTCCATTTTTGTTCTTAGAAAAGAGTACATCACACAAGTGAGGAAAATGAGGCTCAGCTGGGTTAAAGTTACTTTCTCAAAACCGCCAAGTTAAAAAGAGGCAGTTTGGAGTCCCGCTGAGGTGTATCTGACCGCTAAGTTGGTGTGTCCCCTCCGACCCCTCTGCCTGCGGTAAGGGGAGAGTGGTGGCCACGGCCACATATCAGAAGTTTGCTTCCGAATTCCTTCGTTACCAGGTGCAGAATATTTCTTTGTCACTGTCGTGCACCAGTGGGGTTATTAGGATAAGCAAAGAGCACATAGCTGAGAAGTCACTCGGCAAACTAACCGGCTTATTCTCCTTCATACGCCTGACTGCCTTATGAGCCAGTGGTCTCCCATGTGTTTTGTTGATGCATCTTATTCAGTAGAAAATTGTTGCGACCCACCCCCAATAAGCATGCATTCTGAAATATATATTATATGAAAGAAGGCACTGTTACTTGAAAAAGTGAGCATTTATACCACACCACATTGGCAGTTAGAAGTCACCTGTCTTCCTGCATTTGAATGGCCGACCTGTGCTCCTTGCTGTGCAAACGCCCACCTGAAGACTATTGTGACAAGGGTCGTGGGCTTGGTGTTGGCAGGGGTGCAAGGAAAACCTTCCCTGAGGGCAAAGACTGAAACCTCCTCGGTGACTTTTTCTTCTTCCTTCTGTTCATTGTTACGGGGATGTGACATTAATCGCAATGCAATTTACTGCTGGAATTCAGTTTGTTTTCCTGGTTGCTTTCTCTGTATTAATATTCTGAGAACGAGTTGATTGAACTGTTTCCATGACTATGACATTGGCCTTCCTTCAAATGCAATTATTTCCTCCGGTACTTTGTGCTGATTTCTACTGAAATATTTGTTTGGCTACATGTGTTGTTACTACCTAAAGAGAAATCCACTCAAATTTATGGTATGCTTCTGTTTGTTTTGTACACATTTCGTTGATATATTTACTCCATCTATATAGTTTATGAGAAAACTTATTTTAATGTGTTTTGTTTTTGTTCTGTTTTGTTTTCTGCTAGGATTAAACCAAGGGTTGAGAAAACTTAAGCATGCCCTCTACTACTGAGCTACACTCCCAGATTCTGTGACTCACTTTTTAGTACTTAGCCCACCTATCAATTTGTTGTTGCATTTCACTGCTGCTTAACAGTATTCAATGGTTATCAGTATAGTATTTTAGAGCTGTGTATTTTGCATTTTTTTCAAGATTAGTGAAATACTACATATAACAGATTGTATTATATGAACAAAACTACCTATTTCCCAACAAAAACCACATTAAAATAACTTTTAGGGTTGGAGTTATAGTTCGGTGGCAGAGAGCTTGCCTAGCACATAGCAAGACCCTGGTTAGAGCCCAGAACTGCAAAAAGGGGAAAGAAAATGCATTTTTAATATAAAATTAAAGACAGGTCTGTATTGTTTGCTATGCTGCAGGAGATTTTGTATGGGTTCTTTTATTTATTTCTTGTGTCAACCCCTTAGGAGTATATACTGTTACTATCTTGGTTTGGTTTGGTTTGGTTTGGTTTTGATGTATGAAGGAACTAGGACTCAGTGAGAGGAAGTGACTGGCCCAAGTCTCAGAGCTATAAATGGGTTTTGAGAGGACACCAGGCCCACACCAGACCCTGCTCCCGTCCTTATAATTCTACCTGCTTCCCTGGGGACCCTCTGGCTTCCTGTGTATAAAATGCACAAGAAAAGGATCAGGGAAAAGTCAGAGATTCCCATGCTTTATGAGATGAACAATGAGCACAAAACCAAAAAGGAATAACTGTATCCCCAAAGGCCATACGCTGAACTTGATTGTCATCCTGTGGCACCACTGGAAGGCAGAGGAACTCTTAGGGAATGGGGCCTAATGAAAGAAGGCAGGTCAGTGGAGACACGCCCTTGAAAGGGATGCTGGGACTCCACCCCCTTCCTGTCTCTCTCTGCTTCCGGCCACCATGAGGTGAGAAGCTTTTCTCCATACCATGGTGGTCTGCCTCAGCACAGGTCCAAAGTAATGGGGCCAAGTGAACTGGCACTGAAGCTTAGAAACTGTGAGCTAAAATAAACATCTCCTTCTTTTAAGTAGATGAACTCAGATATTTTTGCCAGAAAGCCAACTAACAAAAGGGTTCAGTCTAGTCTGGTTCCATTTCTGGGTTCAGATCCTACACTGCTGTCTAAGTGAATTTAGATAAGTCACTACCTTCTCTGATCTTGTTTTCTCAAAGTCTGAAATAAGTGGCTTTTGCATTGAGGGTTTATCAGTTTTAATACCAGAAATCAACTTCCCCTTCTGTAACTACAGGTGGAAGAGAACAGTGCTGGAAAGAACTTCTCTTAGTCTCTCCAGCCCAGCTTCAAGACATTCTCACAGCAGACTTTTAACGGAGCACTTACCCTACACCAAACCCTGGAAACGATTTGTCATTTAATAACCCAAAGAACTTGAAAAGTTTGGTGTTGTTGTTCCCGTTTTACAGTAACAGAGACTGGGTTTCAGAAAAGATCCCGTCTTCTCCAGCAGTGCCATGCGTGGCTCCAATGGAGAGAAGTGAGAGATCCAACATGGCACCGGGGAACTTGCCCTTGCGCATCTGTGGCTCTAATTCCGTGACCACAATGTATATGTGGTGTGACTTTTAACCCTCTCCCTAAGTGCCCACCTTCTTCTCTCTTCCATCCTCTAAGACGGCTAAGAGTTGCTGCTTATGAGCCATTAACAGAAGGAATATTGAGCAGGGAACCTTAGAAGGCCTGGATTCTACACTTATGTGACTGACAAGTTCAGATTTTCTGTAAAAAATATATCTTTAGAAAAGATTAAGAATATTTTCTCTGCCTGTGTCACAGGACTGTTACGAAAAATCACTTCATTCATTCACTGGCGCTTATCCTCTAAGCAGGGTCCGGTCTGGTTTTTTTGTTTCATTTTGTTTTTCTGGTACCGGGGATTGAACTCAGGACCTTGCACTTACAAGGCAGGCACCCTGCCGCTGAGCTAAATCCCCAGCCCCGTCCTGTCTGTTTTGTTTACCTTCTTATCAGCAACAGCCAGAACAGTAACTTCCACATACGAGACAGTCAACAAATATTTGTTCAATGGATGAATGAATGAGTAAATGAAGATGATTTTTTTCATCCGTGACAAAGGCAGATAAAAACAGTGTAAATGAACACACAGGATAATTTCAGAATAAGTACAAAGAGTCCACTGAAGGGGACAACCAAGAGGAAAGAGGCTATTGCTGATGAGAATGGTGCAGCATCCCAAGAAGGAGTCTGGAAAGGGTGACACTGGAGCAGAGGTCTAAACATGAGAGCCAGCGAGCCACTCCGAGAGCACCGCAGGCAGAGAAGGAGCTGAGCGTGTTCAGAGAAGGACAGTGAGGGTCAACAGTAAACAAGGGACCAGAAGCAGAAAGGTGAACAAAGAGCGTGCTTTCATTTCAAGCACGAAGTATACTGACGGGTTCACAGCTGAGCATCAACGGGACCTGAATGATGGATAAAGGAGATCGCTATGGCTGGCGGGGGAGGGAGGATATGTGTGGGAGTCCAGAAGCGAGACAGTGGTTAGCAGAGTGGGGGAGATTAAGCCAACAAGACTTGGGGTGCAGGGGGAAGTGGCAAGAAAGCCACAAAGGGGAATGGCAAGTGGGGGCACAGGAGAACTGCTACCCTGTGAACCCCCGTGCCAAGCTGACGGGTGCTCATTAGATGATGGCTTCCCGGGAGGGCAGCAGAAGACTCCTTCTGGGAAAGAGCGTGAGGTACGAAAAGGTTGCAATACAAACTGCTCCTACTCCGTGATTTGCCATCATCTGGCCCTGCCACGTGGAATTTCTGTTTCAAAAGTCTGAACTGAGAAGTCTGACAAATTGCCAGACCATTCGTATCTTATTTTAAAGCAGAACCAAACAGTTTTTTCATTCTCCGCGGATTCAGTCTTTAGTATTTACATTGTCCTCCCTACTTGAAAAAAGCACTGAAATTAATCCGTCTGAAATAGTCAACTCAATTCAACTTGGTTGACTTATTAAATGAAAAGCCGTGAACTCTAGTGCTACCGGGGAGCATTCTCCTGGATTCTATTTATGATGTCATATTTTCAACAGAGTGATGTTAGCACGTTGGATGGGACCCCTCTTCCCTGTACTTCTCTTCCCTGGCAAAATCACCCTTTCTAAATGCCAGTAGCACCCTGATAAATGCAACAACCAAAAACACTCCACAAATTCCCCAAATACCCCTTGAGGAGTATTGATCTATCCCAGCAGAGATCCAAACATTGTAGATTTACTTTTTTTTTCCAGTACCAGAGATCGAACTCAGGACCTTGAGCTTGCAAGGCAGGGATGGCACCACTGAGCTAAATAACACTGTACCTTTATTAGGGCCCCCCGACCCTAGGCAGTTTCATTTATGATAGTCATATGACTTAACTCAATGTCATTCCTTGAGATGGTTCCAACAATTTATTTGCAATAAATAATTATGTTTTCCTATACTCTTTTGCCCTTACAAGCATCAGCTTGAGCTTTTTGGATTTCCCTTGGGTTTGCATTTCTTTGAAGCCACCGTTTTTAAGTAAGAAGAACTTAATAAAGAAGTCCTGCCCTGCTTCTCTCACCACCCTGCCCAGTTCTGCTGCCAACTTTTTATTTCCTTCTCTGAATGCAGATCCAAAGAGGGGTGTATCCAGGAGCAGAGAGAGCTCCAGGAAGGGACAGGGCCAGGGGAATATCGCACACCAAATAATTGGACTGAAAAGTGTTACCCCCACCATCACCCTAGTGGCAGGGGCTACCTCTCTAGGACAAAGAGCACTGTCTCTCTGAATAATTCGACAGAGGGATTGGAGGTAGCAACTTTTATTGGATACGGCTAAGGAAGTCTTGTTCTTTCCCAGGCAGGTTTCTGCCTTCAGGTACTTTGAGCTGATATCAAGAACCAAAGACGGACTAACTCCTGGCTCTGCCTTCGATTCATAACAAGTCTTTCTCTTTGGGATAAGTGTGTTACTCACAAAAGTGAGCCACAGCTGCCAAACTTGATTGGCTTCTCTGCGATCCTCCCAGAGAAAGGAGTGCTGTGAAACGTATGTCACCTTCAAAGAAGTCTGCACTTTCACTGATGACGACATCGCATTGTATGCACCGCGTCAGGATGAGACTGCATTATCTACTCCTTGCCGTAAAAACATGAACAACTGCCCCATTTTCATTGACAGTTATCAGACTGTGCCCTTTTAATTTTATTTTCTAGCTCAAACATCAGTTTACAGTAACATGATCTTCCATGGGCCCTCCAGGGGAGAAGGACAATTCGGACATTCTTGCTGCAACCTGACCCTCCGCGTCTGCAGAATCCCACCAACACCTGGTGTTACTGCCTTATCTACACTGAAAACACATTAGAGGTCTTCTCTCCATTCAGCCTCCACGCATCTCTCTTTGTGCCTTTTCTTTCAGACAGAGAAGGTACTGCCCCCTTTGCCACCTGCTCTCGCCATGAGTCTCCTCTCTCTCTCTCTGTCTCTCTGTCTCTGTCTGTCTGTCTCTGTCTGTCTGTCTCTCTTTCCCCCCTCCCTGCCTCCCTTGCTCTTTCTTTCTGAATCGCTGGTCCTTCTCATCTGTCTACCCTCTGAAGCAAGCCTCCCCTGCTACAAAAATAAAGCAAACCAAAAGCCCTCTAGGCTAAGTCATTCCATTACTACTCTTCCCTGCGCTTGTCCTCTTTTTCTTCGCCAAACTTCTAGTCCCCGCCCACTGCTCCCACTTTCATGTCACCCTTTCCCTTTAGATGGAATCTAAAGTCCCACCTCCAGAATTCCAGTGCATCCGCGTTCCTCTGTGTCAAGACCTTCACCTAGTCTCTCCGCTGTTGGCTGCCCGTAACAATCCCCTATTGGAAAGGCTGTCTTTGAATTCCGAGTTTCTTAATCAACCCTCCCTTTTCTGTTTCCTTTTCTCACTAGTCCTTTCTTTACAGCTCCTCCCCTAGAAATCGTACCCACACTAAAGTCTTCCAAATGCTCAATTCTAGCTGTGCAGGGTCCTTTTAAGCAGATGTGGCTGTCCAAGCAGCAGTCCCCGTGCTGAATTGAATCCCCACCGCCACCACACATCTGGGCTCCACCTACGGTGGCTACCAGGAAGCAAAGAGGTGGAGGAACCCAGCGCCCTTTCTGACCCACAAATTTCTGTCAATGAAACTACGATTCATTTACCGAGCCATTCACAAAATTCCAGTCTTTTCCTCTTCCTGTCTGTTTATTTGTCTGTCTGTTTTGAAGCACAGTCTTACAACATTGCCCAGGCTGGTCTTGAACTCCTGCGCATAAGCAACCTTCTTGCCTCCGCCTATGGAGCAGCTGGACTACAGGTGGGTGCCAAGCTACCAAGCCCTCTTAATTCTCCCTCCAAACTCCTCTTTTCTTTCTACTTCCACTGTCACCATCTTGCTTTCTATGCACCAACCGCCACTAGATTAATCTCCCTAAAACCATCCTCACAAACATGTATTGCCCACATTAATCAGAAGTTTTCAGTTATAATAAAAAAGTTAAGAAAAAACACTTCAAAATGAAAAAAAATTTTAAAAGAAGATTTATTGGCACACACCTAATGAAAAGGCCAGGGATAAACTTTCAAGTGTGGTTGGATCTAGGTATTGAAGCAATGTCCTTAGGATGAAAAGGAATTTCTAGACAAAAGAACTAAATTGGACAACTATGAGTTAACTGTTATTTAGCAACTACGGGTTAGCTGGGTAACTATGCCCTTTGTAGAGTGTACCTGAGTAGCCATGACAACTTCTGTGATCTGTCACCACAGGAGCATAACGGACTCAGCAAGTCCTGCCAGAACCTTTTGCTCTACCCCTTCGGTGCTCTGCTTTGTGTAAACCCTGCTTGCTGTATCCCCAGGGAAACTCCGATGGAATTAAGCCTCAGAGGTGTAAAAATGTCAAATAACTAACCAACCAAAGACTGCCAAATACTCTGCTTCTATTCCTGTACCGCCTGCTTGCAGCCCAATAAAACTGCAAGCCCACCGATATTCTGGGCCTGACTTCTTTGAGAATGATCCCAGTCAGGTCCATCAAATGATAAAAGAGTTGTACACTGCCTCCTGCCTCCCTGGGAGTTTTCCTCTCCAGAATTCAGTCTGCTACAACAAGGAGTCTCTCCTTCCACCCTTTGGCTATAGGCTGGCTTCCCTCTCAGGCAGTATTCCTCAGCCACCACCTGCAGGCTCATGTTGCAGAAGTGCAGCATCATTAGCAGAAAAAAAAAAATACTCTTTCTCAGTGGTTTAGTGGTAGAAATCCTACCACTGATTCTAATTTGGAAGACCTGAGTCCTGGACTCATCACCAGAGCCAGGAAAGTGAAGTCACCCTTCCCAAACTACACGGACCAAAAGTGGGAAAAGCATGGCTCGCATAGAACATAAGGGCTCTACTTTCAGAAGAGAGCAGCTGCTCTGGGAGGGCAAAGGCAACAGATGTCTAATATATGCACTGTCCTATGACTATAGGGTGAAATTAATCTCCCTCGGTCTGATACTCAAGATCCTTGTACCTTACTGGTGCCCAAAACTCCCTTTCCTACTCTTTCATCACTCAACACAAATTTTCCACTGGACCCTTTCTTACCCATGCGCTCTCTTCCGTGGCCTTTTGGCTCTTTGAACCTTGGCTAATGGCACTGTCCTTACCACCTGTTCCAATTCTACGCATCCTCTCAGCCCATGGTTGGCCCAGCCTCTAACATTCCCACATGACAGTGCTTTTATTCACTTGATCAACATTTACTGGCTCCAAGTGTGGAGTCAGACAGATGTGGGAGACCATGTCAGCTGTCAAATTTACGGACACGTGAAAGTCTAGAAAAAGTCAGTATTACCATAAATATTTATTTAGAAGGAGAAAATAGATCATAACTATAAATTTTGGAAAGGTAATATATGCCACATACGCTAAGATCACAAGCTCTGCATTAGTCAATATTTAGGATTATACAGCATAGCAAGGTGGTGTGAACGCAGAGGTAAGGAACAGCACAACCAAGGCACTCAATGAGCCAAGCTTGGAAAAGGGGAGTAACTATGTATAATTCTGAAGGTCACAGTGAACAAGGCACCTGTGCTATGGTTGCACAGAATCATAATTCCTCAGCTGCATTGTTTCCTTGCTGTAGAAATGTCACAATCTCATCAGGCATTGAGACCTCAATTGTGACCGTTGGCATAGAGAAGTCCTATCTCTGCACATCAGCCAAAAGGTCAATTAGCAATTTACACTTAGGCCTTGGAGTGACTCATAATCGATAGCTTAATTCATAAGGCAAACCAATAATATCTAAAGCCTGCTCTGTGTGGGTTCAAGCTGGTCTCCTACAGGCTTTAGAGGACTTAGACCTATGAACTAGATTGGAAAGATGCAATGCTACTTTTAAATCAAACGTTGACTTCTAATGAGAGACAAGCAGTATTACAAGCTGCTACTACATTTGGAGATGAATATTATCTTAATTTTAGAAGATCTAAAGACAAGCAGCCAGGAGAATAGATGAAGACCAAGCAGTCCCTCTATAAGACCCCCACTGGCCTGCCAACGAGACAGACTGAAATAGAAGACACTTTCAGGCATATATTCTTGAAGGTCAAGGAGAGATGAGAAGCCAGCCTTCAGTTATTTTAAATTGTTAGCTATTTATCAGGAGAAAGATGAGAACCATTCTGCCTTCTTATATCATTTATGAAAGGCTTTGATAAAACATACATCCCTAGCTCCTGACTCAATAGATGGACAGACTGTTCTTAAAGTCAAGTTTATTACAGTCAGCCGCAGATATTAGAAAAAGGTTTAAAAAGATGGCTTTTGCTCCAGATAGCTCACTTGATGCTTTAGGAAAAAAATCACCTCCTCGGTATTTTATAATTGAGATCAAAAAGCAGCCAAGGAGAGAAAACAAAGAAAGATTAAAAGGAAATGGCAGCTTTAATCACAGGCTTAAAAGGAACAGACTCTATGTGTGATTCTCTGGGCTTCAAAAAGAGCTCAACAACCATTAACCTCATCTGCTACTACTGTGGAAAACCAGGCCACCTTCAGGGGCACTGCCACGAGAAGTCCCCTGGACCATGCCCTACTTGACAACATGACCACTGGAAGTCGGAGCCCTCTGAAGTAAAGGCTGTAGGGCTCAGACCTATCTTACCAGCTGGTCCAGCAAGACTGAAGGGCCCAGGGCACTTTCTGCCTCCTCCCTCTGGCTGGACTGTCATCTCCAGCCATCGTACCTCAATAAAAGGGGTCACTGAAGAGCAGGACTCACTATTTCTCAGAACCCTCGGTCTATCACTAGGATGTTTTTCTTTTTACACACTCCTTTTCATTATGCCTAAAAGTCCAGTTTTCCCCTTCCTGGGGAAAATATTTTATCTCTTTTTTTATCTTATTTGAATACTGTAGGCCGGGCGTGGGTGGCACACGCCTGTAATCCTAGCACTTGGGAGGCTGAGGCAGGAGGATCCCTGTGAGTTCGAGACCAGCCTGGGCTACATAGTGACTTCCAGGTGTGTCTCAACTACATAGTGAGACCCTGTCTCAAAAAACCAAAAAATAAATAAATAAATACTGTAGCTTAACAGTCTTACAATATATAGATAGTATACTGTCATGTGCCCCCTCAGAAGAACTCTCTAGCCAAGGCACCAGTGCTCTGCTAAATTTTGGAGCAGACAGGGGTTATACAGTTTCTAGATCTAAAGAACAACTTTGTAGCCTTGGGGTAAAATATTTGGGCCTTGTCCTATCTAAGCAAAACTGAAGACTAGGGGGAGAAAGAATTAAATCACTTCTTTCCCTCCCACAGCCCAAGACTCTAAAACAGCTAAGGAATTCCTAGGAACTACCGACTTTTGTCACCTTTCAATAACAAGATATCATAAGATTTTGTGATCCCTCTATCAGTTTATAAAGAAACCCAAAAGACAGATACCCATATTTTAACCTGAGAACCTGATGAACACTTTCATTTTTTTTCTCTCACTCTCTTTTTCAAGAGGCTAAAAATAAGACATTCAGATTCTTTGATTATTGGCTTAATTTTCTGCTTAGCAACATAGAGTCAACCATAGCTCTTTTCTCTGGAGACATGTTTTGCTAAAGATTAGAGATCCACTCTGGGAAAAGCTCTTGGTCTTAATTATCTTTCTGCACCTGAGATGGTCAAGATTTAGTTCATGTGTCATACCTAGAACCACTCTTCTGTCCTTTCTCCCCTGCCCTGCCCCTGAGAAATAATGCAGTTTTCAACAGTGTTTGGTCCAAGGCAATCCTCTCCTCTGTGGCTGCTAGATTTCAGGACCAAGCTTCCAGAATGGTGAGTTTCCCCTTCCTGGGCCTCTTTCAGAGTAAAGCTCACCTCCACTTATCTGTAGCCCATATTTTAAAAATCTTCTCTAGATTTAATCCTAAAACTCTAAAAGAAAAAATATAAAGGTTTAATCGGAGTTTATCTGCCTTTCAATCCTTAGGCAGAACTACAGATTAACTCCTTCCCTCCCCTCAGGAATGATGCAGACTGGTTTTTATAGCACAGGACAGACTGAGTTTTACAACACAGATAAGTTCTTTGATAGAATAAAAGCTTACCAGGGAACTTTATGAGTTTAATAACAGTTTTAAACAAGCCAAGTGTGGGGGCACACACCTGTAATCCCAGCAGTTGGAAGGCAGAGATAGGAGGATCAATCACAGCGAGTTCAAGGCTAGCCTGGGCTACACAGTGAGACAATATCTCAAAAAAAATTAAAAAATAAATAACAGTTTCAAACAAAAACAGGTACTAAAGAATAGATATAGCCCCAGTCCCCCAGAGGACTGCCTCTCTTGTTATGACTTCTCTCCAGGACATCTTGCAAGGACTGCCACTATTATCAAAAATATGCTAACTGAGGATCTGAAAAAGAAAGGCCTACAAGGGTCCAAGGGTCATAGGCAAAATGAGAAAAAAAAAAAACTGTCATAGGGACATGTACAACAGGACAGATTAGAACCCTGGCAGTCCTTCTTCCCCAACTGTATAAATTATGTATTTAGCTCCTAGTCTCTTTCTACACCAAAACCTGGATTACATACCAAACCTTAAAAGTAATTAAAATTATCTTTTAATAGTCTATCCCAGCAGAAAAAAACAGGTACATGTGGCTATCAAACAGCAGTTTTGACTATCAGCTGGGATTATCTAACAACTATAGGCATCAAGCAACAAGGAAAAGTCTGTGCAGCTAGATATTTCAATCAGATAAAGCATCAGCCTCCCGCCCACCTTAAAAATTGTCTTTTCTTTCACAGATCTTATTCCTTCTGATTCTTATTACAAGAGATCTCTATTAATTGGCCTACAAAAAGTTCTCATTGATGATTAGTCTTTTTTATAACTACAAATCTAAAAACTATAAAAGAATTATTATAATTCAACTGGGCCAAATACATCTGAGTGCACCAAGGTTTTATAAACAAATTGTCTTATGTGTGCTTGTCCATCTGTCTATCCAATCTGGCTTACAGCTATTTTGTTTGAGCTCAACAATTTTTTGCTTTTTTATCTTTTTAGGTTTGCCTATAATTTAAGTTAGTTTATAGATAAAGATCATTAGGGTTAAAGACAAGCTTCCACCCAGGCTGCCAGCTAATCTAAATAATGTCAACACTTGTTTTACAAATACTATACATATTGTTGTGCGTGTATAACTTGAGAATCTTTCACTGGTCAAAAATAATGTACTAATTGTTATAATCTCATTCTCACAGGTCATCTAAACATTTATGGAGATAAATAGATACCCTTAGCTTTAGGAAAATTACTGGGCAGGACTCCCCTTGGTGACTAAAGAGACACTGCCTA